GACTGCAATGAGGAGGGAGGGGTTGCATATTTAAGTCCGTTTAAATTTTCATTTTTAAAAAAATTTTGGTGGTAGGAACTGAATGCAGGACCTTGGCGCTTGCTAGGCAGGTGTGGTGAAACTGAGCTCAATCCCTGGCCCTAAATTTTTATTTTAATACATATTTACAGTACATAATAGATTGATTGCAGAGAGTTGATATATGTACATAGCACATCTTAGGTTTTTTTAATATTTCTCTCCCACCCCCTGAACATACATAAGTTTGAACATGGGAAACTTCTGTTTCTAGGCTGCTTAATTCTTACCTGCAATATAGACTGCCATTATTATAACTTAAGTAGTGGTGGAGTTGGCACGTGATTGCTATCTATGAGAATTGATTTAGCCTGTGAAAGTCATTTGCTCAACAGCCAGATCAGTTCAAGTTGCCAAAATATTTTTCAGAAGCAGGTGGATGGAGTATTCAAATTGCATAGTGTTCCAAAGTCTAGAACATTTTGAGCACCAACATGATTTGGTTTCTGTTTATCTCGTATGTAAAGTTTTTGTTTGTTTGTTTTTTGTTTGTTTTGTTTTGGGTGCTGGAGATTGAACTTGTGCCGTTGTGCTTGCAAGGCCAGCGGTGAAACCACTGAGCTTAAATCCACAGCTCTTGGTGTTTTATTTATTTATTTATTTTTTTACAGTCTTTCACTTACTACCTTCCTGCTGCCTGGTACTACATGCATAATTGAGTCTGAGTAATTCTTGCCTTAATATAAACATTTATTAATACTATTCTTAATAATTAAAATATTGTAATTGAATGTACCTCATCAAGAGAAATTTATGCTCATGAATAGCTTATCCATAATTATATACATTTTAACATTTAGATCTTGCATATGTATAGTAAATTGTTCTTATAAATGCCGTACCATAAATTAGCTGTCTTACAATGTTTTAGACCATTTTAGTGTTTTCCTTAAGGAACTATACGGTACCTCCTGTGCTAAATCAGTGCCTTTAGTTGCGTTATTGTAATCAAAGATCGTGAGAAGTGGTATAAGCAGCACAATGGGACAATCATGCATGTACCATGGATGGTTCAGCTGGTGAGAACAATCAATTCAAATTAGAGCCACTTGGCAACAAGATGTATTAATTGCGGCTGTCATAGCATCAATAAATTTTAAAGTGCTATACTTTTTAACTTTGAGCAAAAGCTCTATGACTTTGAAATAGTTAAAGCATTTAATTTAGCACAAAGCTCTTATAACTTAGGGCTTAGGAGTCTCCTATGTTTTAGCATATCAAATATGTGGGGTTTGGATACGTAAATGGCCGACTGAACAATTTATGCAGTGGTATAAGGAAATGGAAAGGTGCCTGGATTTCTAGAGTTAGTAAGAGTATTTGTGGGTTTTGGGCATGGTGGTGCACACCTATGATCCCAGCACTGAGGCTGAGGCAGGAGGATCACTGTGAGTTCAAAAGCAACCTGGGCTACATTGTGAGTTCCAGGTCAGTCTCAACTAATAGTGAGACCCTGTCTGAAAAAACCAAAAAAAAAAAAAAAAATTTTTTTTTTTTTTTTTTTTTTTTTTTTTTGGTGGGTAACCTGCATAGTTTGTTACTCTTTTGTGGTAGTTGTATACAACCTTACTAATTTCCGGTATTAAGTGATGTGAGATCATATATTTTTCCACAAGGTGGTTATTCTGGAATTTAAATTGAGCTCTTCATTATCTGCACTCTCTAGGAAAGGGGAGTTTATACTGAATAGTCTGCATTTCATATCTTTTACTTTGCAATAAGAACCAAGGTCATACCGATAACTAAAGAAAATTATTTCCATGCAGTTGTATTATCCTTAACAGTGAATAATACATTGTTGGAGTAGATTAAATGAATGAGATTGTTTGAGGGTTATAAATGCATTGATAATTGTGAGAAGTAGTTGATATTGTCCACATCATTCTTTATTGTATCCTTTCAAATTAGCCATTGAGCCCTAGTAGTGTAAGCCTGTAATTCAGACTGCTCTGGAAGCCGAGAAAGAAAGATAAGAAACTGTAGCCTTCATTTCAGAAAGACATTCTTTTTGATTGGGATGTATATCTTAGTGGCAGAACACTTGGGTAGCATGCAGAAGGCCTTGGGTTTAATCCGTGGCACAAGCAAACCCCTCATTTCATCTTTCTAGTATTTGGGGTTTTTTGTTTGGTGTGTATGGTGTTTGTTTGTTTTTTAATCAGGGATTGAACTGAAGACCTTGTGCTTGCAAGGCAGGTGCAGCACCACTGAGCTAAACACCGCCCAAGTGTGAGGTTTTTTGTATATGGCAACATTGAGACTTTAGAGTGTTTTGTTGTTACCACGTAGCCTTGATTGTTATTTCCGTGTTTATTTTTTTATATTTATTTATTTATTTTTGGTTTTTTGAGACAGGGTCTCACTATGTAGTTGAGACTGAACTGGAACTCACTATGTAGACCAGGTTGATCTGGAACTCTCAGCGATCCTCCTGCCTCAGCCTCCCTAGTGCTGGGATTACAGACGTGCGTCGCCATGCCCGGCTATTTCCATAGTAGACCACGTTGATCTGGAACTCTCAGCGATCCTCCTGCCTCAGCCTCCCTAGTGCTGGGATTACAGACGTGCGTCGCCATGCCCGGCTATTTCCATGTTTAGACAAAAAAGAATTTAAAAAGTGGTTCCTTTTAAAAAAAATAATTTTTGTTATTTGAAAATGTACAGTGAGGCAGTGCATTAACAGTTTGGTTTGTCATTTTGGTCTTTTTGTGTTTTGGGTACTGGACATGGAAACCAGGGCCTCACATACTGGGCAAGCATTCAGCATTCATTGTTCAACCACTGATCTGCACTCCCAGATATTCCTAAATTTTATTTGAGATAAAATCTCACTAACTTGTCCAGGGTGGTCTGGTGTTTGTGATTCTCCTGCTTTAGGCTCCAGAATAGCTGGGAGTACAGATACATGCTTTTTACTTTCGATGATGAAGCACTGGTCATATGTTTAATAAGACAGAACTGTATCATATTAAACTTAAAAAGTTCTAAGGAGGAGCCAAGTATTTTCATGCTAGATTGCCATCTTTTTATAGGTATAGGTATATGGGGATAAGATTGAGTACAAAAGGGTACTTAGTCCTATCAGAAGTTTTTAATGTGGAAAATGGGATTCATGGATGATTAGGTAAATGTTCAGGAAGAGCAAAAGCTTGAAGACAGAAAAGTGCCTCAGAGGTGATCTGGAAGGTCAACAGGTGCCACACAGCACTGTTCCCTTTTTTTTTTTTTTTTTTTTTTTTTTTTGTACCAGGGATCGAACTCAGGTCCTTGGGCTTGAACTCAGGTCCTTGGGCTTGCAAGGCAAGCACTATTCCTTTTTTGAAGCTCTCACATTGAGAGCATCAGCTTTGCCCCTCAGAATTTTCCTGTTAGTGTCATTGAGCCTTGACTGTGGACGGTTAGGTATGTGTCCATGGGCCAGTGCTGCCTACTCTGTTCAGTGACTGGTTGTAGGGTTTTCTTTTTTGTTTGTTTGTTTTTTGTTCTTTTTTGGTACTGGGGAGCAAACTTGCAAAGCAGGCACCGGAACCACTGAGCTAAATCCCTGGCCTGGTTGGAATGTATTGAGAGTCATGATTGTTCATTAAAGAATGGGATAAGAAGTAAATGGAAGTTGGGCCAGGGGATTTAGCTCAGTGGTTCTGCTGCCTTCCTCACAAGCCCAAGGTCCCAAGATTTATCCCTGGTACCAAAAACAAAACAAAACAAAAAACCAAAAACAAAAGCAAATGGAAATAGTTGACTAATTGTTAAAAACAAAGTCACAGATACACATACATGTTTGGTTTATCCTTTCCTATCTCTGTGGTTTAGATTGTTTGTTACGGGTGGCTGCATTCACTGCAGACATGTCTGGCATGTATGTGGTCAACATTCAGTATTTGCTAAAGGAATGAGAGGCAAGCGAAATAATGTATGGAATGTGCTTAGCTCAGACAGGACTCAAGTTCCCACATCCAGTGGTCTCTGTTTAGTTCTGTGCATGTGTCACACTCTTGCTCACTAATTGCTTTCCCTGAGAAGGGGTGTTCTGGATTACAGGCATGAGGATGCTGGCCATTGGAAAGGAATATTTCTCATCGCAAACTAATGACTGCTAACTTGGTTCATAGTCACTCAGATTACTGAGTGAATCAGCTGACTGATTCAAATCGGCCATCGTGTCAGCTGACTCAAATGGTGTGCAGAGTCTAGCTTGCCTCCAAAGGTGAGGCACTGTTAGTGTGTGGTTGGCGGCAAGGCCTTCTGGGGCCTGGGACCTTGACAGTGCTGGGCCACAGTACCAGCAAATTGGGATTTCTTTGCCTCAGGTCTTTGTGTGTGTACATATGCACATGTATGTGAGTATGTTGGCCATACAGATGGAGAGGTTTCAGAGCCCAGGATTTAGCTCAGTGGTGTCACTGCCTGCCTCGCAAGCAGAAGGGTCCCGAGTTCAATCCTTGGTACCAAAAAAAGTAAATGAAATAACGGAGAGGTTTCATTCTGGCAGATGTCTATGCACCTCACATGCTTTGGATCATTTTTACCTCCCCTACCCCTCGCCTTCTACTCAAGTGTGATTTGTGTTTTTTGTTATTCTTCTGACTTTTTTTTTTTCCTTCCAGTTTTTTGGTTTTTTGAGACAGGGTCTAGCTACGTAGTTGAGACTGAACTGGAACTCACTGTGTAGCCCAGGCTGGTCTCGAACTCACAGCAATCCTCCTCCTTCAGCCTCCCGAGTGCTGGGATTATAGGCGTGCGCCAGCACACCTGGCTTCTTCTGACTTTTTGAAGCAAGATCTTGTTATATATTCCTGTCAGGCCTTGCTTGAACTTTGGGTTTTCTCTCGCCTTAATCTACTGAGTGTTGGAGTTCCAGGCATGTCAGCACCATGCCTCACTCATTTGACTGTTTATTTTCTTGTGTTTACTTGGTGTAGGAACTTAGTGATTTGGCCCGTGACCCTCCAGCACAATGTTCTGCAGGCCCAGTTGGGGATGACAGTAAGTAACTTCTAAATTGATTTCTATAGCTAACTTTCAAGAAGCTTTGTGTGTTTTTGAGATGATAATGAGTGTTTTGTTTTCTTTTTATAGTGTTCCATTGGCAAGCCACAATTATGGGACCTGTAAGTATTAAAAATTTGTAAATTTTGTTTGCAATTGAAAAATCCAGTATTGATCTGATTATAATTTTTAACAGTCTGTAGGTTTGTTTCATTATCTAGTTACTTTGTTTTGGATGTCCCATAATTGTACTGCATTTGAAAGGGACAACAGTGAGTTAATCATTCGTTGCATGTGGATGTAGAGTGCAGCATGAGGGCCACCAAGTCCCTATTTGCCTCAGTCCAGCTTTCCTTTGTAGCAGTGGAATTACTGTCAGTGGGCTGGTTGTTTCTTACAGTGTACTGGCTCTAATTCTGCCAGGAATTGTAATGGTAATATTTCCATTAATTCAATATTCCATTTTGCTCATAACTTAGTTTTATGCAAAATTTGAATACATGTAAGCAGAAAGTAATATTTTGAATGTAGAAAAACTCCTTGAGTATTCAGAATTATGGATAGCCCTCTAAGGATTTCAGGGAATTAAAAAACACACTAAAAACATGAAATTAGACTATCACAAATTTTTTTTTTTTTTTTAACTTTGACACTATTTAGGGCTTCTATTCTCATATATGTGTGTCTTAGCGAAAATGCTGCTGTTTTTCCCTTTTTGCTTACAGTTTTGGGGGGGATCGTTACCATCTATAATTTCAAAGGAGAATATGCCTTTGGAAGTTGCCTTTGTGGATGCGTTGGATCAACGAGTATTTGTTGAGTAGTCCTGACTTTCATACCTTAGTCATTTCCCTGTCTGTTTGTTTGCTTGTTTTTGAGACAGGGTCTTGCCATGCAGTTCAAATTGGCCTTAAACTCCTTATGTACCCCTGGCCAAATTTGGTGGTGATCCAGCCTCAGCCTCCCAAGTGCAGGGATTGCAGGCATGTGCCACACCTGGCCTCATTTCCCTATTTCAATACTGCTATATGCATAGCAATAAGGATATAAATGAACATAATAGAGAATATTCCTGCCAGTCCTTCAGCAAATTAAAATCTGAGATAAAAGCGTTAATACAAGCATTAAAGTGTGATAGATGACGAATAGTAATGTTAATGAAGAACAGAGTAGAAGACATTTATGAATTAAGACATTATGGCAAGGGGCTTATATTAAGTAGGATACTAAATACTGGGTTTTCTTTTAAGAAACCAGAATTATTTGTACATTTTCTTCAAGGACTGTACTTAACTGTTTTAAATGTATTTATCTAAGTCATGTTTATTTTTAATTCACAGTTAAGTATTGACTTACCTTGGCGTACAAGGCATTTTAAATTTTGGCAGTCTCCTAATAAAAACCCCTCCATTAGACCCTCATTCACAAGCAGCAGTGCCTTGGGATAGATTCACACAGCTGCCTTTCCTTTCAAGATGGTACCTATGTCTTGGCATAGTCCCTTCCTTGTTCTCTTCATTTTGCTACCTTAATATTGTAAGCAATTGCTTTTGGAACCTAGAATTTTTCACTACAGATTACCATTTTCTGTGTAAAGAATTCAATGAAGTGCTCTACTGTGTTTATACCAAATATAACTTGGATTCATGGGGTACTTTAGGATAGTCTCATTATAAAAGTTACTTGTCAATATTAAAGCACTCAAGGGGTTGGTAATCAAGACTTCAGCTTGAATGGTGTAGGTTTACTAGTTTTCCTCTGCTGTGTTATTTTATTTAACATATATGGAAATACTTCAACCCTTAAGGTTTTTTTTAATTTTGTTGTTAAAGCTAAAGTACATGCTTTATGAAATATCTATTCCCTGTTATATGCCAATGTGTAGCTATAATATTTAACAAAGACAGGCTTATCTAATAAAAGCAGATCACACAGCCTAGATGCCTTGGTTTGTTTCTCCCCTCTACAGTTCTCAGGTGCTGCTTTGTAGTGTTACTTTTTTTTTAATGTAAAGTTTGCAGGCCTCAATTTAAATAGTTGCTTCTCCTTTCAGTGATTGTTTCTTTCACTTGGATCTTCATCAGTAGATTTTCTTTGAGTCTTGTGTTTCTTGCTCATTTTTCATAACATCTATAACATTTCATTGCATTCACTTTCTAGGTCCTTGTGTTCGTGTTTAAGCCCATCAAGATAAGGTGTCCTCTGGGCTTAATTTTACAGAGGGGTGAAAATTAAGGAGCTGTTAAACTTCAAGTTGGCTCTTGAAATTTTAGAGACAGTTAAGCAGTTTTCGTATTTTATTTTATTTATTTATTTTTAGTTTTTGTATTTTTAACTTAAAATCCTAAAGTAGGCCACTATCTTACACTTTCTCATGGTTTTGTCTCTTGGGTGGCCTTCAGAAGATGTGTTTGGACATTGGTTCTGTCACTTACCATTTATACCAAGCTTTCAGTCCCATCGCATCTTTCTGTCCAGTAGAACAACATGTATATTCTGCATTTGTTAAAATGAAAAACTTATAGCAAGTGCTTTCAAAAGTTAGCTTAGTACTAACATTTGTAAAATACATTTTGAGGGAGTTGGCCATTCAAATTGTATTGAGCAGACCAGCAGAGGAGAAAAAGTACTGCTGTGTATTATAAAAATTTATTTTTTCTTTCCATTCCTTTTTATTTTGCAGCACTGGGAGTTGAACTTGGGACATTATGTCCCTCTATCCCCCAATATTAAGACAGGGTCTTGCTAAGTTGCCTAAGCTAGCCTCAAACCAGGAATCTTGTCTTAGCTTCCCAGAGTGCTGGGGTTAAAGGAAGGTACTCCAATGTGCCTGGCTTAAAAAAATCTATATTTTCTGGTCCATATTTCTGGGCTTGCTGTAGAGAATTCAGTTACACATTTGTAGGGGAAAATGTGGTTTTAGATGAGAATTTTGAGGAGCCAGTTGAATAAACTTAGCAGACCCATTTGTGTTGTGATATTCCTGAGGGTAATTCTTGAAGGTTACATGGAATAGCTAGCGTTACCACTACATGGTAGTGGGTAAATGACCCATTGAGTTGCAAAGCCATTTGTGCACACCTGGCTTTATTAAAGGAAAATATTCTTCTCATGTAATACTTTGTTTTAAAATTACAGTGACTGAGAAATAATGTTAGGTAAACTTTATTAAGTGTACTTTGGGTTTCTGGATAATTTTTTCAAACCTTAGATAAATTTATAAAATTGGCTCTTACAAATTTCAGTTTGTTATATACTGAGTTACAATTTTTTTCCACCAAGTTGAACTTAATAAGAATATTACAGTACAAGCAGGTAATTTTTGACTCATTATTAGAGAAATACTTAGAAAATGGAAATGTGTACTTAACATTGAGTTTTCTTTAAATATTAAGGTTAAGAATATTATTCTCTTCACAGAATGACAGCCCATATCAAGGTGGTGTATTCTTTTTGACAATTCATTTTCCTACAGACTACCCCTTCAAACCACCTAAGGCAAGTGTTTTCTTTCTGAATCTGTTAGTACAGATTTACACTGTTTCAGAGCAACAAAGCATTCTGAAAAATGAGGGTTATGTGTAAGAATGTGTATATGTATTGAATAATCGAAGCTGAAATATCTTTAGATATGCACACAACTAGCCTTTCAAGAGTTAGATACGGGCTTGAAGTTTACAAATGGAGATTTGCTTGTCTTTAATGTTGCAAGGCTCAAATATTATGCCCTGTGGAAGCTGTTTTTCATTTATTAGTCAGACACAGATTGGAATTGTTGTAATAGTAGCCATCAGATGTTTAGTTTCAAGAGTTGCTAGATGTTCTGGGGTGTCTAGTTAATAGGTATTGAAAGCATATGGTCCTTGACTTTTTATAACCCCTAAAATAAATTCAGCCTGTGAATAGCCACACGATAGTATATATAAGACACTGTGATACTTCACTGAAACAGTCATGTGGAGGTGCTATGTGACATGCTATTGAACGAAACAGGTTTTGTTTGTTTTTTGGTACTGGAGATTGAACTTAGCAAGCAGGTGCTGTGCTGCTGAGCTAAATTTAAATTTCCAGTCTGAATTAGATAGTTTTGTAATATTCAGGTTTTGGTTTTGTGCACAGAGGAAATGCAAACCTGACTGTATAATACAGTACATTTTAAATAAGATCTATAAGTTTTGATTCTGTCCTATCTAGGACCTCTTTTTCCTTCTTTTTGAATTAGGCTCTTGTTATGTGTAGTTCAAGCTAGTCTTGAACTCACTGTGTAACCCAAGCTGGCTTCGAACTTCGCAGACCTCCTTTCTCAGCCTACCAAGTGCTGGATTATGTGTGCTACCATGCCTACCTCAGGACCTTATATACATTTTAATAAATGTTATTAAATACCCTTCAAATTACCCTTTGATATTTGTACTATTATAGCACTAAAGTTAACTTTCCACAGTATTATTAGTAATTAAATTTTTGTCCCAGTAGTACTTTCCATTTTACTTAAAAAGGATCGGGGGATGGGGACACCGGACAAGTGTAAAGACCTGTTTTGATAATTTTTGTATTTTAAGTTATAACTTATATTTTAAACTTCTCTTTGAAAGTTTTCCAATGAAATTTAGAGTGCTTTGTTTTTCTTTGGATAAAATACTTAAAAGCTTTTTTTAAAATTTTATTTTAGGTTGCATTTACAACAAGAATTTATCATCCAAATATAAACAGTAATGGCAGCATTTGTCTCGATATTCTAAGATCACAGTGGTCTCCTGCTTTAACTATTTCTAAAGGTAAAGTACTTTCAATGGAGTAGTCTTAATGCTTTGATCTCCCCCCCATAAAGGAATTTTATCTTTGAATCTATTTTTAATATGCCAGCGTTTTGATAAGTGCAAGAAGAAATAATAAATTTGTTCTTACTCTACTAGCAATATTGGTTGAAACTTTAGAAGTTAAAATTCAAATTAGGACTAGGAAGAAGGGAGCATTGTTTGCCCTAATGAGTTCCCTTCATCATATAAGACCAAAATTTATTTTATGGACTTTGGGTTGTTGTTTTTTTTTTTTTTTTTTTAACCAGAATGGTATCATTATAGCTTACCTGGGTTTACTAGAACTCTAGGAAAATTCTGTTACTGTCTTTTGTGTTTATCTGAGCCAGGGTCTTGTTACATAATTGAGGTTGGCCGTGAGTTCAGTGTAGTCCAGGTTGGCCTCAAACCCATGGTAGTCCTCCTGCCTTTGCTTCCCAAGTGCTGGGATCACAGGTGTGTGCCATCACACCCAGCATGCTTATTTTTAAATATTTTTCGAGTCGGGGAGTGTTCTCTAAAGTTAGGGAAACTTGATCCCTAAGTCAATTCTGATGGTTCTACTTCTGCCATAGTAGAATCTCTCTAACAGGTCGTCCAGTTGTGGCAGCAGTATCTGAGATGGATCATTTTTTCACTTTTCTTCATTTTGAGTGATTCTGGTGGCTTTTCTCACTTTTGCCCCATGAGTAAAATCACATTCAGCTATTTCATGGGAAGGAAAAGTCTGCCAAAGTGTTTTGTTTTTGCCTTAACCTTTCTTGGGTACACAAAATAGTCTTGGGGTTTTTTGTGGGGGGGTTGTTTTTGTGTTTTGTGATACTGGGGGTTGAATGTTCTGCCAATGAGCAACACCCTCGGCGCTTTTAAAAAATTTCATTTGGATTTTTGAGCCAGGGGCTTTGCTATGTAGTTCAGCTTGACCTTAAACTCACTAGTCCAGGCTGGTCTTGAACTCACTGTGATCCTCCTGCCTCCACCTCCCCCAAGTGCTGGGATTACAGACCTAAGTTGTTCATACTGTCCTTGAGTTTGGGATCTTCCTGCCTCAGCCTCCTAAGTATCTGGCATTACAGGCATATATGTCACTGTGCCAGCCAGGATTTAGGTTTTTTTGTGTTAGTAATTATGACACTTTGAGTATATTTAAGGGCACCTCTCGAAGCTTTTTCTTTTTTTTAAACAAAACATTTATTGGTACTTTTTTTGGCAGTACCAGTGATCGAACTCAATACCCTTAAACATTTGTGAGGCAGGCACAGTGCCACTGAGCTAAATCCCAAGCCCTTATCGGTACATTTTAGGTAGACCAGATAACGATTGTCATAGGGAATTTGTACCTGTACATTATATGTCTTGCTGTTGCTTTCTTTTCCCATTTCTCACCCTTTGACTCCTCTTCCCTTCTCTATTTACAAAAGCATTGTTTCCATTTTTTCCTTCTTTCCTTGTTCTTCCTTTCCTCCTCCCTCTTCCTTTTTTCCCTTTCTCATTTGAACATTTTCTTCCCATTTCCCAATAAAGCATTTTGTTTTTTAAGCTTAGTGCTTACATGCAACATTTTCAAAATTGTATTTTGAAATAATCTTACCAAAGTTTTTATAGCTTCTGAGTTTGGTAAATGCTTATGCTATATGTATTAGAACTTCAAAGGTGTTGTGTAACTTTTCTCAAGCTTTCCTTTAACTACCATCACTTTTTGGGAGGCGGGCACTGGAGATAGAACTCGGGTCCCTATGCTGGAGAGGCAGGCAGTACCACCACTGAGCTAAATCCCCAGCCCAACTGCCATCATTTTTTAGTGAGAAATAAAGTGGACAAATACTGCCACTGTTCTTCCGCGACACCCCCACCAATTGTGCTCCCATACCCAAGTGCCTAGCGGCAAGTTTTTACTATTCTTGGATGGACTGTAATACTGAAAGTTTCTGTAAATACAGGTGGAAGTTTGTAGTGTTTTGTTTTTGAAATAATTTGCTTTTTGGCAGTTGTATTTTGCTAACTTACTAGCAGGTACAGCTGAAGTTTTTTGCCTTTTCTCCTGAGTTACTGTGTAGCCAGGTCTTCTATTCTATAATTTTATATGTGCATCCCCATACGCACGCATTTGGATTAGCTTCTGTGATAGTTCCTGAGGTCTTTGTAATGCCTGCACAGTGAGTGACACAGTGCAGGTACACACGATGAATGAGCTGTGTGTCCTGTGATACTTGGCCCCTTCCGAGTCAGTGTGAGCAGGTCAGAGCAAGAAATAAAGCTGTGAGGGCCACTTGGTGCTCAAGAGGTCTTGGCAGTGTTTTGGTTCACGGGGACTCTTGGGACTATGGTCTCTACCTTCTAGTTTCCAGGAGACTGCATTTTGTGGAGCCTGTCCAAGAGCAGAGCAAGGGATGGAGATTTCATCCTGCCTCAGCTAAGAGTAGTATGGCATGGGTATTACTCTCACCAAAGAACTAATGTGGCATTTGACTGCCTGATTAGTAGTCAGTACTTTAATACCAACAAAGTTTTTAGCCCACCTTACTTACCAAGAGTTTAACTTTGGTGAATCAAAATCTCTAAAATAATTTGATTGAGATTAAAATATAAATAATATTGTTTGTGAAGTTTGTAGCATGTATTTTTAAATTTTCTTGACCCTTACTCATCCAGACCCCCTGATGCTGGGTAACGACACATTTGTTTTCTTGCAGTTCTTTTATCCATTTGTTCACTGCTATGTGATCCAAACCCAGATGACCCCCTAGTGCCAGAGATTGCACGGATCTATAAAACAGACAGAGACAAGTAAGTATACGCTAGTTAAAGGAAGTATTGTAAAAATAGGTTTACTACTTTTAGTCTTAACTGGAGTTAGGCATATGTTCTTAAGTTATGGCAATGTCAGGGAAATTATATTCTTGTCTAATAAAATAGTTCTGTAGGGGCCGGGGATTTAGCTCCGCGGTTCGGTGGCCTGCCTTGCAAGCGCAAAGACCTGAGTTCAATCCCCGGTACCAAAAATAATTTTAAAAATAAAATAGTTGTGTAGAAAGCTGTTTTTTAAAAATGACTTTTAGGTGACTGAATAGCCCCTGCAAAATATTTGTTTTTTTCTAATGTGATAAAAACACTTGGTCACTTTAAAAGCTCATAAAGTTTGGGGGAGGGAAACACTGATTTCTTCACCCCAAATATGTTTTTCAAAAAAATACTAGTACTAATGATTATAAAAACTTGGCTGTAAATTTCTCAAATACCCAAATTACCTTCACGTTCAACCAGTGTTGTAACCACCTTATGTTGTGATTAATGTGTGTTGTCCAATCAGGTACAATAGGTTAGCGAGAGAGTGGACAGACAAATACGCTATGTTGTAGGGTAAGAGGACTGTGGTGCCGCTCGCTTGTGATGGCTGCGAGCACTCGGGTGCCGCATGCTGTCAGGCCCTGCATTAACTAACACAGATAACAGACTGGGCAGTTTCTGAAAACTGCTTGTAACAGCTTGACCTTCTGAGCATGATAGTATGCCCAGTAGTTACTACTATTTGAAAGTATTCCTGCATGGCAAAGCAGCATAGCACCAGTGAAAGGTGAAAACGTAAGAGCATCTTTATCAGTTTAACTTGTGTTCACATTTTAACTTGAAACTTTGTTCCACTACTGTAATAGAATGTGATGGGTTTTTTTCAGATTTTGCCAGGAGATAGTAGTAGTGTAAGGAAAAAATATTTCAGCCTACTCATCTAAACTAAGTGTTCATTACTGACAAGCATGCGCTACTGTCAGCTGTATTTTGTGGCTCCGTTTATGCTATGTAAAGCCTCTGTTTTAAAGTGCTGGCTTTTTGGAGAGGATATTTTTAAATGGCATAAGTGTGAATTGGGTAGAAAGAACTATGAAATGTGAAGTTTAGAAAAAAGTTGAGTCATACTTAGTCCTAGGTTTGAAATCTCAAAAATTTTTAAAGTTTAAGTGTAAATCTAAAAGTTCTGTGTCCTTTTGCTATATATCCATTTCTTAAGGTTATCACTATTTCTCTTGGGGTAAGTAATGGCATGGAAGAATCTTGGGAGAAATGGATGATATTTGTCAATATTAGTGGTCTTTTCTCAGTGATGACCTGGCTCATGAGTGAACTGCTGGTGATCTTTCTAAGTAGAGATGTCTTGGTTACATTGCTAGCAATCCCTGTCCATCAGGTTGCCATGGGTCTTAGCGCCTACCACTCTGCAGTTTCTAGGTATAAACGCGTGGTTCTGATCACACCCAACCATTCTCAAAAATCGCAGGTTTTTCCCCCTTCCATACCTAGCACTAGTTACTAGGCAGGTGCCACATCACTGAACTACATCCCCGGCTCACTGGGCTTTGTTAAATAAACCCTTCCCAATGTCTCACCACTTCTAAGTCTCAAAGGCATTTTCTCTTAACAAGTAGCCAGAGCCAAGTAACTTCTCAAAGTCCAGGATTTCAACATAATTTTTGGTGGAATTTATTGGTGTACAGAATGAGATTCTGTTTTGACAGACATCTGTGATGAACCCTAAAAAGCCCTGCTTTCAGAGCAAAGTCTCGTTTCCCATCCTGCTTTGAGCACCAGTGCTGGCTCTCCCCTTGCTGTTCTTCAGTCATAGCCATCACAGATAACTTATTGTGCAGGGTAAAATACAGGTCTGATTCTGGGAAATGTTGGTATTTTGAATTTATTTTTAAAATATATTTTTTCATTTGTAGGTACAACAGAATATCTCGAGAATGGACTCAGAAGTATGCCATGTGATGCTACCTTAAAATCAGAATAACCTGCATTATAGCTGGAATAAACTTTAAATTACTGTTCCTTTTTTGATTTTCTTATCCGGCTGCTCCCCTATCAGACCTCATCTTTTTTTAATTTTATTTTTTGTTTACCTCCCTCCATTCATTCACATGCTCATCTGAGAAGACTTAAGTTCTTCCAGCTTTGGACAATAACTGCTTTTAGAAACTGTAAAGTAGTTACAAGAGAACAGTTGCCCAAGATTCAGAATTTTTTTAAAAAATGGAGCATGTGTATTATGTGGCCAATGTCTTCACTCTAACTTGGTTATGAGACTTAAACCATTCCTCACACTCTAACTGCTGAAGAAGCCAGCTGAGGGGGGGAGATGGATGCTCGGTTGTCACGGCAAGGAAGCAGCATTATTCTAGCAGCATCCATTCTTGTTAAGCCTTCCACTGTTAGAGATTTGAGGTTACGTGATATACTTTATGCTCATAACTGATGTGGCTGGAGAATTGGTATTGAATTTATAGCATCGGCAGAACAGAAAATGTGATGTATTTTATGCATGTCAATAAAGGAATGACCTGTTCTTGTTCTACAGAGAATGGAAATTGGAACTCAAAAACCCTTTGTATTCCAAAATAGGGTCTCAAAACATTTTGTAATTTTCATTTAAATTGTTAGGAGGCTTGGAGCTATTAGTTAATCTATCTTCCAATACACTGTTTAATATAGCACTGAGTAAATGATGCAAGTTGTCAATGGATGAGTGATCAACTAATAGCTCTGCTAGTAATTGATTTATTTTTCTTCAATAAAGTTGCATAAACCAATGAGTTAGCTGCCTGGATTAATCAGTATGGGAAACAATCTTTTGTAAATGCAAAGCTGTTTTTTGTATGTACTGTTGGGATTTGCTTCATTGTTTGACATCAGATAATGATGTAAAGTTCAAAAGAGTGACTATTTTGCTATGTTCAGTTAAAATGCAGTCTGTTACAGGTTGATTTGTCACTTGACCTGACTTATGCAGAATAGGCTACTTACTCAGATGGTGTAGCTTCGGTGTGCTGCATATGATCCTGGCAGCACTGGCGATCAGAGATGGACTTGGGGCCCAGCAGCTTTGAAATGTGTGTATGGAGTTGATAAAATTTGTTTTCCAGGTGCATCCCGTCTAAAATGTTTTCACCTTGTACACTTGACACCCTAAGAAAACCACATGGGGGTAACAGTGGGTCAGAATTCACACAATAAAGTGCTGTTCAGCTGTGTTGAAGTGACTTAGCTTTGGGATATTTGCATATCCATTGAAGTGGATTGTCAGCCATTTACATTAGTATTGATGCAGCAGGTATCACTGCAGGTGGCTTCACGTGAATGAATAAAGTTAAATGCTATCGGATTATTTTGTTTTGATAAGTGCTCTCTGTGCCACTGAACTTTTGTAGTAACAAGGGCATTACCATTCACCCTAATTCTGACCCTGTAGTTTTACTTTTTTCCTAGTAACTTGATTTACTGTTTTATTTCAAGTCCCGTATACAGTTTCTAGCAGATGTGATGTCTACACCTCCACACTTTTGCGCTGCTTACACTTATGTGCATTCCTATTTCTTGTCTACACACAGATGTGGAAAGCTAGAAATAAACGTTAAAGCTTAATTTTTATAAACACTAATACGTAGTTTGGACATAATTTGTTAAGGTTCTAATCTAAACGAAGTGTGAAATGCATGCTTTCTGAAGATGTTCTAGCTTTGTTCATTGTGTAGTAAGTGCTTCGTTGGGAAATACCAATCTGCCTAAATGGTCTTCTCCAATGAATGAAATTACTTATCTTTTGCTTTAAAAGTCGTGGGTTCTTCAGGGTAGATACCATGCTGTCAAAACTCTTATGGATTCAAATTAAGAATGAAAAGTAACATAGTGCACCGCAAGGTAAGAACTGCTCTTTTGGCTATTTTCAGAATCTTTCTAAGACTTCTATACTCAACTGCTTTAATAGGCATGTTCTTGAAAGCCAAACACGAATAAAACTTTTTAAGTTTAAGGGTGTGTCCCTTACTGGCTTTCAAGTGGACTTTTTTTTTTTAAGCCTTAGACATTGTTTACAGAAAAATCTTAGACTATTGTGATCATACTTGGTGAGTATGTCCAGTTGTGTCTTTTTCAATGCTTTGTGTATCTCCTGTGTCGCTTCTAAGGGAATAAGCCATAGAGGCTTCTCCAGGTGTAAGAACAGTGAAGTACCTGGAAAACCCTACGTTTTTGAATGTATAGGCACTGGACTTGGATCACCATACCTTCAAAAGAACCTAAAGGATTTGCCCTCTTCCCCACCCAACAGCAGCTGGACATTGCTAGTGCCATGTGTAGACTGGTGTGACTGTTGTCTGTGTTTCTTGTACCTTTTAATGCATAGACACATTTTTCTTCACCTATAAATACAGTTGGCCTTTTAGTGGTAAATTACATTTTTAAGTGACTCACTTCTCGGGCAGGTTTGCAATGTGATAATCAGACTTTTTTTTAACTGATTAGTTTGCTTTTTCTGTGTGGGTGTACTCACATTTAAAAGTATGAACCACAGTTAACTCGTGGTCTCAGGGGTAGTGAAGCGCACTCACTTCATTTTTAAATATGAATGGCTTAATATTAAAATACTGATCATGATGTGCTAGTGATGGGTGACTCAAATGTTTTGTGTTGAAGTAACTGTTAATTGTTGATAACACTTTTAAGTGAATTTGTCTTTTCCGAGGAACCCAGTGCAAGTCACTAAATGTTGTCTAAAAGTAACATCTGCCTAAGACTTGTAATAGCTAAAGTTAATTGACCTTAAAGGAATTGTTACCATTAAAGTCTGTGTTTAAAGACACTTGGTTTTACTCATTCTAGCAAACAAAGTCCACAATTCAACTTAATGCTGTGTGTGAGCTCAATTTGAATGTACAGTATTAAAGTGGCAGTGGTGTGTGGATAGTGTTATGAATTTGAAAGTGTGGCGCAACCAGTATCAGCATGGTTGGGGAAGTTCTTATGATGCAAATTAGGTCGTGCCCCAGGTGGTTCTTGAGCCCTCTCAAGTGATTTTATGCATGGTCATTTTTTTAGTCTGTTCTTAGTGTTCCTTTGTGACACAGTAACTTGTGACTACAATTGTGCTCTGCTCATTTGTGGCTACAGAGGATGTTTTGTATGCCTAAGTATTCTGATACCTGACAAATGCCATAGGTGATCTACATTTGGAATACATAAACTCTAGCTTAGTATCTGTTCTGTATAATCCAGCCAATGTTTAGGTATTACGAGTAACCAAGTTCAAAATCAACCTGTGTGCTAGATAACATAGCTGAATAAAGATTGGAGCCCAGATCTCATTCTGTGGAAATGAAGATGAATTTGCAGTGTTTGAATTTAACGTTAATGGGCCCTGGCCAGGTGTGGTGGCCCACGCCTGTAATCCTAGTCCTCTGGAGACTGAAGTAGACAGATCATTGCAAGTTCAGGGTCAGCCTGCACTTAAAAAGCGAGACACTGTCTCAAACCCCAAAGCAAGCAACAAAATCCCATTAAATGTGCCTTAATACTTCAAGACTTTTTGTGCTTTCTTAATTTAGTGTGAAATAAATGGTACAGGGTTTGGAAATTTCCAATCATTGTTAACAGTGTAACATTATTAAAGACAAAACTTTTCCAGAAAGGATAGATTGAAGTTGGCCAAGCTTTTTTCTGATTTTAAGAGCCCTCGAGTTTTTCTGTAATACAGAAAATGGTTTCACGAAGTTACAGACCATTGACTGTGCCTGTGTCCTGATTCTGTTCATTAACAAATGCAAACATCGTCTATAAAGAGAAAAGGCTCTCTTGCCTGTTTGGGAGCTTGCGGCTTCATTGCTGCTGTCCTGTCACTCCATTGAGGCGGTGAACGCCCTGTCTGCTGTGCACCTGGCTGTTCAGAGGACATTTTGAAATGTCAAACTGGCCGGTTTTCTAGATTCGGCATTAGCGTGTGCAGTTTCACTGGCGCCAGACCTAGCCATCCTGACTTTAACGCTCCCAGAGCTAACAAGAATCCTCTTAGTTGTGTCTTTAAAATGTGTTCAGCAACTGCCAGGTCACCATCCCACTGCCACCACAGTGTAAAGCTTCCATTGTCTGAGTGGTCACCCTGCTTCCTGGCATGCCAGCGACCCGGCCCACGCAGAAAACGCAACATAACCAAGTCAGATCACAGCAAGTTTACAAAGGTACAGTCACAGAAAAATTGTAGTTTTATGAAATTCAGAAAAATTCCATTTAGCATCAAAATACTTAGGAATTTATTTAACAATGGAAATGTAACACTTGTACGGTAAAACTATAAGGCCTAAACAAATGGAAAGGCATCCTGTGTTCACAAATCCGAAGGCTGAATATTGGGATAATACGGTTTTGCAAAGCCATCTGCAGATTAAATCCAGTCTTTGTCAAAGTTGGAATGACTGGATTACAGAAACCGTTTAAAAGACCCTGAGGATGTAGTCCGTGGGAGAGCACCTACCTAGCATGTGCAAAACCCTGGTGGTTAAATTCATATGGAAAGCTGGGCATGGCGCTAGCCGGTAATCCAGCACTCCAGGAGACAGGCAGGAGGATTGCTGTGAGTTCAAGACCAGCCTGGGCTACAGTTTAGGTCAGTCTCAACTACATAGTGAGACCCTGTGTCAGAAGAAAAAAGTTATATGGAGGCCGGGGATTAAATTAAGCTCAGTGCTGCCGCCGCCTGCCTCACAAGTGGCAAGGTCCCGAGTTTGACCCCAGTTACCCCCCCCCCCCGAGAAAAGGAATTTCAGAGTCGATCAATCTACACAGAAAAAGTAATAGGAAAGGTTTGAGGGGAAATGGGAAAAAGGATATATCATGTACAAGTACAAATTCCCTGGGATGAGTATTTCTAATGTACAAATGTGTATCTAAGATCTACAAATATTTTGCTAAAAACTGAAAAGGGGGCCAGGGATTTAGCTCATGTTCCGCTGCCTGCCTCGCCAGCACAAGGACCCAAGTTTGATACCCAGTACCAGAAAAAAAAACAACTATAATATCTAATTTCAAAACGTACTACAAAAAAAAAAAAAACAGCTACAGTAATCAAAACAGAATAAAGATAAACACATAGACCCATGGAATGGAATTGAGAAACCATGTTTGTGGTCAACTGTTGTTTTGCAAGGTTGACAAGACCACTCAATGGGGAAGAATGTCTTCAACAAATGGTGTTGGGACTAGATTTGTGTATGCCAAAGAATTGGGACCTGTATCAGCATATACAAAATTAAAAGGTATTAAAGTCCTAATATGATCTAAACTGTAAAAGTCAGACCAAGTATTTTCATGCCCTTGGATCTTACAATAAGTATGATACCAAAAGCATAAGCAATCCCAAATGGTCGATAAAAAATTGGATCTCATTTAAATTGTATACTTTGTATGTCAAAGGACATTATAATAGTGAAAAGAATGAAAAATACAATCATGTTAAGAGCTTACACATGAAGAGTTCATAAAACAACGACAATCCTATATTTAAAACATCTGTAAAGACCAGTATTTCTCCAGAAACTCAAATGTCCACAAGACCCACGTGAAAAGGTGTTCATTATTAGTTACTAGGGAAATGAAATTACCACCGTATTGATTTATACCTGTTAAGGTAGTTATAATTTGTAAAAATGAAAAGTATTGCTGAGAATTTGGAGAAATTGGAACCCTTGAACATTGCTGGTGGGACTGTAAAATGGTACAGCTTCAGTGAAAACAGTTTGGCAGTCATCAAGAAGTTAAACATTTGGATGTAGTGGCCCATGCCTATAATCCTAGTATTCTGGGAGGCTGAGACACAGGATCCCACATTTAACCCCTGCCTGGGCAACACAGGGAAACCTGGTCCCAAAATAAAAAAGAACTGGAGATGTAGTCCAATAGGAAGGCCCTTAGCTCAACTCTAACACTAAAAAGAGTTAAACAGAATTATCACAAAAGCCAGTAATTCCACTCTTAGTGTACACACACAAAAACATTGTGGAAACAAGGAATGGATAAGGAAGTAAAATCTGGTACTTCACTCAATGACATTCTGCAATGGAAAGGAATGTAGTATTGATAAGTGTGTGGATGGATTGTGAACATGTGCTAAGGGTACAGAGCCACACTGCATGATTCTATTTTGTTAGGGTACCGGGGATCAAACTCCAGTACCTGTGCTTGCAAAGCAGGTGTCAGAACCACTGAGCTAAATCCCTGGCCCTGCATGATTCTATTTAAATGAGCACCTGAATAGTTAAGTCCATTGAAGGCAGCACATTGGGGTATGCCAGGGACTAAGTAGAAGGGACAGAGGGTAATAATTGCTGAGCAGACAGGGTCTCCTCTGGGGACAGTTCTGCAGCACTGTGAACATACTAAAAGACACTTACTGCACATTTACCCTGAACTGTGTGCAGAGGATCTGAACATTACATGTATCCCCTCTTTATTAAGAAAATAAAGTAGGGCTGGGGATGTATAGCTCAGTGGTGCTGTGCCTGCCTGGCAAGCACAGGTCTTGAGTTCAATTCCCAGTACTGAAAAAAAAACAAAAAAACAAAATGAAATGCAGAGGTTTAGGTTCAGGCTGGGGGTGTAACTCAGAGGAAGAGCGCATGAAGTGAGGCCCTAAGTTCCATCTCCACCACCCCTAAAATAATCACTTAAAAAAGCTAGAAGGGGGCTGGGGATTTGGCAGTGGTTCCACCACCTGTCTTATAAGCACGAGAGCCAGAGTTTGATCCCCAGTACCAAAAAAAAAGAAAATAGGCTGGAGAGAGGAATGTGATAGTAATTAAAAGATCATTTTGGGAAGAGTAAAGAGAATTATTATTTTTAGAATTTAGCAGTTAGCATAGGCATGTTAAAATGTTTAATTTTGGGGCCGGAATGTAGCTCAGTGGCGCTGCACCTGACTGGCAAGCGCAAAGTCCTGAGTTTGATCCCTGATGCCAAAAAAACAAAAAGTGTAATTTGGGGGTGGGGTGCAGCTCAGCGTTACAGTGTTTATACAGAAGGTGCAAGGCCCTTAGTTCCACACCAGGACACACTAAAAGAATACAGTTCAGGGGTAAGACATGGGTCTTCTTAGTTGGGCACAATGACACATAAGTCAGGACGATCCCAAGTTTGAGCCTAGCCTAAAAAAATGTAGCGACTTAGCAGGAT